ATTCGGAGGCAGCTGATTTTTTGCTGCCACCACCAGCAGGCTCCTCCCAGGAAGTCCAGTCTCTTCTTAAAAACCTCCAGTGATGAAGCACTCACAACGTCTGGAGGCCAGCTGTTCCACTGGTTATGTCCTCACTGTTGTGAAGTTTTTCTTTAATTCTAGATTGCTTCTCTCCTTGATGAGTTTCCAATCATTGTTTCTTGTCCTGCCCTCTGATACTCCTCTGAGTAGAGTATGCCTGGGACTGTTTCTAGATGGCCATAGCCTGGGAGGTCTTACCTGCCAACAATCATGAGCTCCCATTCAGAAGATAGTGGTCGAAGATGTCGCCAAAGGTCCATGGTGAAAATCGTGCTTGCGCTGTTGAAGATGGAAGTCAAAGAGGACATCAGTGCTGCGATCATGACCGACATCATAAGCCCTCTTAGTCCTAGAAGTAAAAAAGAGGGGCTGTTGGTGAGCTAGGATGAGAATATTCCTTATCAGCATCCTCCTCAGAACACCAGAAAGTTCTTGCTATTTGCTAAGTCATAGCTTGCTTCCAACTCCAAAAAATAAAATAAAATAAAATCAGGAATTGTTTCAATTGACAAAGGAAAATAATATCTAGGTTAATTTTTACAGATGTATAAAATCACAGAACAGAATAACTAGAATTAGAATTATTAGAATATTCTTTCTTGGCCAAGTGTGATTGGACATGCAAGGAATTTGTCTCCAGTGCAGAAACTCAGTGTACATACAAAGAACAAAGGGACAGGTCATAAATCATGATACAAACAACAATTGATAAATCATAACATACCAGTAAGAGAAGGTAGTGAGAAAGACGAGAGGTGAAAAAGATGAGAAGATGCTATTCCATCTAGTTTTATGTTATCTGCAAATGTTGCAATTATTTTCTCCACCATTAATCTAAGAAGTAATTAATGAAGAAAATAACATACCAGACCCTCCTGCTCCTGAAGGCAAAAATGCCTCGGGCTCCAGTGGTGGGTTCTGGATCCCGTTGCAACTGGTATGGTGCAATGGGGCCGCCTGCCCACCATGTGCACGCACCCATGTGTACCAGCTGTTCGGTGGAGTGTCATGCACGTACCGTACGTTCCGTGCATGTGCGCAAATGCCCCGATCGGCTCAAAGAGTGGTAAGGAAAGCAGGCGGGCGGGTGGGCACTCCGGAGCACTGTACTGGAACGGTACCTAGTGCTCCCAGCGGGCACCGGTATGCCTGTACCAGGGCTTACCGGTCATATCCCACCACTGTTGGGCTCCCAAAAGTCCTATCTAGGCTTGCCTGTTAACAGTGCCTCTCTATGCAGTAATGAGAAGCCCCCTTACCCAGTGGCAGAAGCTCAAGGACAAGTTTGGGGTACGCAATATCTGAACATCCAGATGGATTCCCACAGATTTCCTTACAGGAGTTGGGATCAGCACAGGCCACTAGATCTGCAACAAAACAGAACCAAAAAAAGTTACGAAGGGTGAGAGAAAACTGAACAAACTGAAAAAGTAAAAAAAAAAGGATTAGAAAGCAGATTCAGGGCTGCCATTTTGTGATCAGAATGGACCCTGCAGGATGGAAGTCTGGGAATCCCAATTTCTATTTCTGAAAGCAACAGCAATAAGTCTAGACTTATATAAGTCTAAGGTATATACCTCTTCACAGTGCTTGACAGCTCTCTCTAAGCAGTTTACAGAGTCAGCCTCTTGCCACTCAACAATTTGGGTCCTCATTTTATCCATCTCAGAAGGAGGGAAGGCTGAATCAACCTTGAGCCTGGTGAGATTTGAACTGCTAAATTGCAGGCAGCCAGAAGAAGTAGCCTGCAGTACTGCACTCTAACCACTGCACCACCGAGCCCTCTTGGTTTTCCCAGCTGAGCCCATCCTGCGATAGAGACTGCTAACTCCTGCAACTTTCTTTCCAGAAGGATCTCACCTAAATTCTAATCTCTTACCTGAATGTGAATGAAAATCCTGAACTGCCTCAAAAGATCAAAATGCAAATGTTGAAATAATTCCTATATAGCTAATTTCTAGCTACCTACAACCTAGCTCAGGGGTGTCCAAATTTGGGAACTTTAAGACTTGTGGACTTCAACTCCCAGAATTTCCCGGCTGGGAGTTGAAGTCCACAAGTCTTAAAGTTCCCAAGTTTGGACATCCCCAAGCTAGAGCAATTTCCAAGGAGATAAAAGAAATCAAATTTTATTTCTAAAAATGTAAAAAACCCTTTCATCTAATATGTTTTCCCGAAAATAAGACAGGGTCTCATTTTCTTTTGACCCCTGAAATAAGTGCTTGGCCTTATTTTCAGGGAGGCCTGATTATTTTTGAGGTGCAGGAGGCAGTGAGTGTGGTCACCTCATGGCTTCTGCTGTGTTGCCATATTTTCAGAGAGGGCTTATTTTCAGGGGAGGGTTTATTTTAGCGCATGTGCTCAAAAGCCCAATTGAGCTTATTATCAAGGAAGGTCTTATTTTGGGGGGAAACAGGGTATAAATATTAAAACATTCAACCAAAGTTCCCAGGTCACAGGATGCAGTAGGTACAACTGAGACAACATGGCTTGAAGGATGACTGCTAAAGTTTAAAGACCCATTATATAATTTAAACAGAGAATCAATAACATGAAATAAAATGAGATTTTAAACACGATAGGAGAACCAAAACTATAAATTAAACCAATTCCTGGCTACTTGTTTCATTTATTTCTACAGAAAGAACAGTTGTCTGAAGCAAACAGCTCCTCTACTCTGGTTACCTGGGCTTATCTTTGATCTGAGATTCTAAAATTTAATCGGAGTCGAAAAACAACCTGTACTTTTCCCAGTCTCGCTCCACAGCTTCTGGAAGACCCTCTTCTGCCTCCCATCCTTTGTTTTAAACCAGCCAGCCATTTCTAAAGCCAGCAGAGGGAGGGATGGTAGTATTTCACTGAAGGTGGCCAAGGACATTCTGTAGGTGTATTGATAGTTTACCTGGGCACCTGGCAGGTGAGTTGCCTTCATCTATCATTTAAGCTATCCCCAGGAGCACCCATACCTGGTTCACCACAGTGGCCAGGTTACCATGTCAGAATGTGAAAGACACACACAAGAGCATGGATTGTTTATTTCTGAGGTAGCTTTTTTTAACGAACCCAGCCAAAGATATTTTCCCCAGGGAATTAAGATTAAGCAAAGTGTAGCTGAATGTGTGAACCCAATCAAGTAACTAAGTTTATACATCATGCTTGGTCAAACTGAATTATAATTGGCTTAACTATCTATTTTTAAAAATGTAATTGACTGAGTTTATGGAACACAATGATTATGACAAAGAACCCACATGGTCCATTAGACCCAAATAAGCAATCCACATCTCTCTATCTTGTGGGAAGATAGAGAGGGACCCAAATCACCAATAGATAACTCAGCAAAGAATGTAACAAGGCCAATAAAAACAAACAAACCAGGATAACTATCACAACTGTATACAGAGGAATAGAAAGAGGTTTATTTTCCAAAACAAATAATTCCATTTTTTAAAAAATCATATAGAAAAGAAGAAGCATTTGAATGTTTTTGAGAATTACACCTCCCTTTGTATCCTGATTTGGTTTGGTTTTAGCCCAGTCTCAATGAACAGAGGAAGATACAGTCTGAGAAGACATGTATTACTAGATAAAATGTTCAATATTTAACTGAATCTTTTAATAATTTATTAAATCACAAAAAGTGCATAAATAATGAAATAATAAAATATATTAACAATGTACTAAATAACAAATAATAGTACATTAATACTACTAAATGACAAATAAAAATATATTAATTTATTACATTTATTTATTGATAAAAATTAAATATTGATAATTATTAAATAATACTATATTGATAATTATTAACTAATAAATAATACTATATTAATAATTATTAACTAATAAATAATAATATATTGATAACTATTAAATAATAAATAATAATTAGGCTATCTTCTTAGACTTTTTGTCAGGTTTCCTAAAAATGTCCTAATTGATTCATGAGTATTGAGCCAAGTTTCAATACAAAACCACCATATATTCCACCATATAAGGCGACTGGGTGTATAAGACAACCCCCTACTTTCAGGCGCCCGTGAGCCAGCTGAAAGCCTCCACGCTGCCGGGTTTTCGTAGTTTGAGCTCAGCGCCTTCCTCCTCCAGACCTCCAGCCACATCTTACTAAGCCATCCCAGCGCTCATCCATCCATGTGCCCAGGCGAGGAGCGCGAGGTTATCGATTGAAAGGCCAGCGTCTGCGCTGGTGGCGGCGCGGCTTTTTACTTGGCGCCCCTTGCTTTTTCTTTTGTTTTGATTTTTTGGTATACCCGGCGTATAAGACGACCCTGATTTTTAAAATAATTTTTGGGGTTAAAAAGTCATCTTATACGCTGGAAAATATGGTAGTCATTTGTTAGGAGCAAGGCAAGCCCTTTTCGCAGTCAAATCTAAGTTTTGTTTGAGTTATAGCTGAACTTTACCCCTGTTCCTTCCTTCCCCTCAGTCTGTGTCATAAATCACATTCCCCAATGAGGTGCACCCCTCCCAAGCTGCTGCAGGTATCTGAGATCGGATTTAGCTAACAGTATGCGTGGAATGCGCTCCTCCCCCCTTCCCTCACTATGGCAATGTTAGGAGTTGAGACTTTCTTTCTTAGTTCATCCACTGGGCTAGAACCAAACCATATCAGCATAGGAAGGGAAGCGTAATTCTAAAAAAAAAAATCAAATGCTTCTTCTTTTCTATATGATTCTTTCCCTTTAAGGGCCTCCCTGCTTGCTCTGACCTGGAAAGAGGATGCGGCTGACCATGCCAGGCAAAACCATCATGAAGAGAGGCAGGATCTTCAAGTAGGAGGCTAGCAGGGCACCACCTTTGGCATGGGAGAGAGACTTCGCTGCCAGAGATCTTTGGACAATGACCTTCAATGAAAAGGAGATGCAAAGCATTTATTTTTCTTTCTTCACTTACAAGAGCCTCCCACGTCACACCAAGGGAGCCTGCGAGGGATAGTAAAAAAATTCAAGATGGCGGTCACAATGGTCCAAAGTTTCAGCCAATTTTTTAAAAAGTTGTTTTGGCTCCCTTGGTTCTGGACTTGCAGATGCTTCCGACTCCAGAACCTAGAAGGTAAATGAAGATGTACCCCAAGTGTCCCTCCACCAAAGTAGACCAGACTAAAAAAAACACAAGGCCAAATAGCACTAGCAATAGACTTATATACTGCTTCATAGTTCTTTACAGCCCTCTCTAAGTGGTTTACAGTGGGCAGAGTTAGCCTGCAATACTGCCTTCTAACCACTGNTTTTGTGGGACCCAAATCAGCTTTCAGATGACCTGGCTCTTGTTGTCTTCTTCAAAAAAACTTTTGGGGGATTGGGGAGCAGACAGAGTTGGCAGCCTGGTAAAGAAGGCACCTCTGCCCTTCCCATCAAGCCATTCGGTGATCTAGCTAAGATCATGACTGGCTCCTTGCTTGCCACCCCCACCCCACCCCCGTGGTTTAATTTCCCCTGTTTTTCTCTTCCTTGTTAACAAGTAGTTCTCTGGGCAGTACACAAAAAGACTCAGCTGAATGCCATGACTGTTTTAAAAAGTCTTTTCAAGTAGTTAAAAAAGGAAAACTTTGAGGACATCATTTCACTGAAGTTCAAAGCAAAGGAAGATGAAAAGAGGTGATATTTTCTAAAGAAAGCCAGAACACGATCGCCATTGCTTTGGAAATTTCAAGCTGTTCCTTCTCTGTAGGTCAACAAATCTAATATGTTGATATTTTCTTTCTTGCAAAGCACGTCTGTGTATCGAAGTTTTTTTGTTTGTTTTACAAAGCATGCAATGTGAGTAATAGTTTACTTATTTGCAAATGCTACCCCCTCGCTATATATATTTTTTTTGGCAGTGGGGCAAAATGAGGTATCCAAAAAAGCAACAAAAGTCAGCAGCACTTGAAGCCCCAAGAAGAACTGAAGGTCACAAAACAGAATTTAATCAACATTTCAGGTATATTAGGGTGAGTAACATCATGCTACATCCTATTTGATTGTTACCTGTGGAAGAGGACGAGAGACAGATACCTTGGTCTATTTACTAAACGAAGGGCCCATTGGGATCCCCATATCAAAACAACTTACTTTATGTGCGGCCAGAATCTGAAAATAACATTTAACACACCACAGGACTTGAGCAAAATGATTTGGTTGAGATCAGCATATGTGGGACTGATTAGGGTAGGTTGTAGGGGTAATACCAAAATATAATTTTATCATATTTTATTTATCTATATATTAAATTATTATATTTTATTCCCATTTCATTTTAAATCGTATTTTATTCCCATTTCATTTTAAATCATATTTTATCCAATTCCTTTTTAAATTGTCCCCTCCTCCCAGATTTTAGTAATAATTTATCTGGAACTCTGCACTTTGATATGGCCCAAGGGCTAATCCATAAAGTAAACTAACTAACATGCTACATATTCATCAGGTAAACTTCCACAGATGTCTAAATCTTCTAAGGCAGGGGTGTCAAATTAGATTTCATTGAGGGCCGCATCAGGGTTGTGTATGACCTCGGGGTGGGGGGACTGGCCAACTCGACATCACTCCTGTCGGGGGCGCCTGTGGTGGCCCGAGTGCTCTGCCAGTAAAAATTGGCTCCTGAGCTCCATTTTTGGCTGCCACGGCCTCCTGCAATCCTCTGCCAGTGAAAATGCAAACTCTGTTTTCACTGGTAGCAGGTTGCAGGAGGCTGTGGCAGCTGAAAATGGAGCTCAGGAGCCTATTTTTGTTGGCAGAAGCACCGCGGGCCAACCCTGCCCTGTTTCCAGGGCAGCCCTGCAGGCCAGATATAAGTACCCTGCAGGCCGGATTCAGCCCCCGGACCTTGAGTTTGACACACCTGTTCTAAGGGAACATGCTTTCTCTCCATACTCCTGGGTTAAACCCTCAACTGCCTGAAGCTGGATGATAGAACACCAAACAATCCCAGCAGTGGTAAAATTCAATTTTTTTTACTACCGGTTCTGTGGGCATAGCTTGGTGGGCATGGTAGGGGAAGGTTACTGCAAAATCTCCATTCCCTCCCCACTCTGGGGCCAGCCAGAGGTGGAATTTGCCGGTTTTCCGAACTACTCAAAATTCCTGCTACTGGTTCTCCAGAACCTGTCAGAACCTGCTGGATTTCATTCCTGAATCCCAGCCATTCTCCTGAACTCCTTCCCCGGAGGGCATGGTCCAGAAATAACTGCCCAAGCCCCCCTTTTCCAGTGTTAACATCTACCTGCCACAGTGTAAATTGCAGTGATGACCAGCAAACCAATGATTGCTATGTAGAGGTCCCAGTGCAAAGCCTGTTGGATGAAAAGAGCCCCAGCATACATGTCAACCTGCAGGAGAAAGAAACATCGAACTTTGAAATCTCAGTAACCATCTTGCCTTGAACTGATTCCAATTAGAAGGGAGTTGGCCAAATGTTGTGTTGTATTCCCTACACAAGTGGTTGCATGTGGGTATATAGATCGATAGTAGTCCCTCTTAGAATCCATGGGCTGGAAGGAATCTTTGAGGTCTTCTAGTCCAATTCTCTACCCAGGGTAGGAGATCTTATTGCATCCCAAAGAAATGAATGCCTGATCTTTTCTTGAAGGCCTCAAGAACTCCATGAGGCAAGTTGTTACATTGATTAACTGGTCTCACTGACAGGAAATTCCTCCTTATTCCCAGGTGGGAGCTCCCTCTCATGAACTTTCACCTGTGGCTTCTTGTCTTGTCGCTATCCTGCCATGAACACAATGTGGTTGAAAGGGGCTGTCCTTGTTTGCTGTATGCACTTTAATGACAATTTTCTCCAAAGGAAAATTGCTACCTTTGGTCCTGCCCTAAGAACGAGATTAGGAAGAATTAGCAGGCCCAGGCCAAGTGCTTAAAGCCTAAACTCTTCTCAATTATTGTCTAAAAGGGTATTACGGTATGTCTGACTTTTGTTTCAAGCACAGTAATTATTAATTGGCTGATCAATATTTGAACTATTGATTGAGACGATCCTCCTTATCTTTTTCTACTTCAATCTGGCTGTTGCAAATGATAAAGCTAAATTTCTAAATGTACCTTACATTTGAAAAGAGTATACACTTCCTATTAAAGGTAGAAGGTAAAGGCATTCCTGCAGATTTTACTCCGCTAGCTATTGCTGACTCTACGGGATGGTACTCATCTCATTTGAAGTCCATTGACAGCACTGTTGTCCAAAGACATTTCAGCATGATGACATGGAGAGTTGTTTCCTCCACACCAAAGTGGTACCTATTAATCTACTCACGTTTGAATGCTTTCGAACTGCTAGGTTGGCAGGAGTTGAGGCAAGGATGGGAGCTCACCCTGCCGCGTGGCACCCAGATCTCAAATGTGGGCTGCCGGCTGACAAGCCCAGCATCTTAAGCACTGAGCCCACACTTCCTATCAAGCTTTTTAATGCTTCTGAATTGATTGCCATCGCTACCAAATCTAAATGATATTTCTATCCTGATATATTTAGAAGTGGCTTAAGCATTGGAGCTGTTTCTTCCCTTTTACATCACAGCTAACATAGATTTATACAAAAAGTAAAAAAGAAAATTGCTGAGATTCCTTGGTACATGAGTTGCAAACAATAAATTACAAGAAAAAAAGTCCACTTATTCAGTGTCCCATTATTTCCAAGCTGGAACTAAGAATGTGTGTGGGTGCAATTCAGTGGTACAAAACTGGCACAAAATATTGCCATTGTTTGGATGAACAGAAGACGGCTAGAAGGGTTTAGATGTTTCCTTTGAAGCTGATTGGAAATATCTTAAGCTCTTAACTCTGTGACTATAACATACAGTCAAAGTGGAGCAAAGCCATTGAAGAGAGCTATTTAAGGACATGGCAGTTGTGCCCACTGAACAATGTACAAATTTGGTCAAACAGAACAAGTAAAAAGCAGTTCAGAATTTTGGCACAAATTTGGGGCAAATTTACCAATTCTCGTTTTGTGGATAAAAGTCTTTTGCTGACCTGGAGTAACACAGCTCTCCTCTTCCAGTAGGTTTGTAGTTATTTTCTATTTTCTGTAAACTGGCCACCACATTATTAGAAAAAATGTTGAGGCTTTGGAAAAGTGCAGAGAAGAGCAACTAAGATGATGAAGGACCTGAAGACGATAACATATGAATAACACTTGCAGGAATTGGCTATGGCTAGTCTAGAGAAAAGAAGGACTGGGGCGACATGATAGCAGTCTTCCAATATTTGAGGGGCTGCCACAAAGAAGAGGTCAAATTATTCTCCAAAATACCAGAAGGCAGGACAAGAAGCAATGGATGGAAACTAATGAAGGAGAGAAGCAACCTGGAACAAAGGAGAGACTTCCTAACAGTGAGAACAATTAACCAGTGGAACAGAAGTTGCTTCCAGAAATTGCGGGGGCTCCATCACTGGAGGTTTTTAAGAAGAGACTGAACAGCTACTTGGTTGAAATGGTATAAGTCTCCTGCTTGAGCATGGGGTTGGACTAGAAGACCTCCAATGTCCCCTCCAGTTCTATTCTGAATTGAATTAAAAGCCCAGTTTGAAATGATTGCATCCTCTTAACTGTCAGAGTATAAAACCTGGACAAAAGTTGTAACCTTTTGGATAGAAACCAAATGTTGGGATGCCTACCTAACCCAGCTGAAGGGGCATCTTTCTCTCGGTGGGATTGAGTGTCCTCTGTGGTTAATAAATGACTGGAGCAAAAGGTTAGCGAGTTACTCATTAAGTGGGAGCAGTCAAACAGAAGAGCAAATGACTAAACCAGAGCACTAGGCCATCTTCGGTGCCTGCCTGTCCACACACACACCACGTTCCATTGGCGTGGCAATTCCTTCACATCTCTTTCTGGGGAATAAATTTTCAAATACGAACAAAACAAACCAGCAGCAAACAAATCGGATCAGGAGGGAGATGCTGGACTCAGGCCTACAAACTTGGACATCTACTAAATATTAAAAGCTTTAACTCCAATGCTTTGTGGTTCCATTTTAAAGCAACATTTTTAATTCTTTTTATTTTTCTTGAAGGGTTGTGTGATGCAAGCTAACCAAAGGAACGGTTTGAAGATGAAATATTATAATTCTTAGGGCTTCCCCCAGGGTTGACTGCAGGGTGAGCCTTAGAACTCTTTCAGAAATAGTTCTTGATGAAAATGTTATGAGAGCATCTGCCGTCCCTACGATCTTTCAGATATGGATCCAAATCCTAGATTACTTTCCTATCCTGATCAAGGAAAAGGAATCTGGAACACTTGTGGTAATACAGGTAGTCCACAAATTACCATAGTTCATTTAATGACTGTTCATAGTGACAACAGCATCGAAAAAAGTGACTTATGACCATCTGTTCTGACCCAGCTCCCCAAACACAACAAACCTTCTGTAGTTGAATCAATGATTCCTTTATTAGGAGCAGCAGCGTCCCTGGCAAAAAGTCTCTCTTGCAGACTAAAAAGTCTGTCTGGCAGGGAGATGAATAGTTATCTGCCACACCTATTCATCTCCACCCCCTGCCTTTGATCCCCAGAGCTAGGATGGGGCTTCGCTAGCAAAAGTGGCTCTTCTTTCCCAAGGACCGGCCCATAGATTCCCACTGCTCTCCTCTCCTCTGCCTTCTGCGCATCGGGCCCTGAACCCAGCTGTTTTTCCTCTTCCTCATCAGCCACCTCCAGACCTGGAGGCTGTTGACTCTCCATCTGGGGGCTGATGGATGCCCTAGGCTCTGCCTCCGTCTCTCTCTCTCTCTCTCTCTCTGCCAGCTCCATTCCCTCTTCCCCCTCGGAGCTCTCAGGTTGCCCTGATGCTGACCCTGACTCCCACGCCTCCTCCTCCTCCTTTGATTTGGCTGCTGGAGGGGCCGGTGGCTGACAGGGCACAATAGCAAATGTCCCAGGGAGAGTCATTTTTTGGCCCCCTCCCCCCACTCACTCTGAAGTGCCTAGTTCGTCTGTGGATGCTTCCTTAACTCACACATGCACGTTTCCTAGGATTGTGAAGCCACGGAAGACATGCACCTTTGGAAAGAAGCTACAAACAGATGTGGTTACCATGCCCGCCTTGCTCATCTTTTAGCCTTTGGATCCCAAACACCGTACCTCAAACCCTAACCCTCCTGTATCCGTGGGTTTGCCACAATGCACGAGAAACATCAAAAGTCATTTATGAAGCCTATATTGACCTCCTCTTTCCAAGCCAGTTCTCTTCTGTCTCCTCTCGCCTCCTTACTTACTGAAATTTTGGTGAATATATAGATAAACAAGTAGAGAATTGCAAGGAAGATCTGAATCCTTTTGCCACCAAACCGTCTCTGCAAATACTCTGGCATGGTTGTAACCTGGGAAGGACAAAAAGGATGATATTTTTACCGAACAGTAGCTTTGATTTGTTGAGGCGTTCTTGAATAGTTTGGGAGACAAATTATTTAACAGCCAACATCCTTCACCTTTCAACTCTTCAACTTCCCCAGCAAAAAGCAGCCCCCATTAGCCCCTTTTGGGTTGGCTTTTAATGTCTTGCTAGCTACCCAAAGGGACCCAGTGGTTCAAAAGGGCTAAGATGCTGAGCTTGTCGATCAGAAGGTCAGCAATTCGGCAGTTCGAATCCCTAGTGCCACCTAACGGAGTGAGCTCCCGTTACTTGTCCCAGCTTCTGCCAACCTAGCAGTCCGAAAGCATGTAAAAAATGCAAGTAGAAAAATAGGAGCCACCTTTGGTGGGAAGGGAACAGCGTTCCATGCGCCTTCGGCATTTAGTCATGCCAGCCACGTGACCACGGAGGTGTCTTCGGACAGCACTGGCTCTTCGGCTTTGAAACGGAGATGAGCAGCACCCCCTGGAGTCAGGAATGTCTAGCATGTATATACAAGGGGAACCTTTACCTTTACATTAGCTACCCAAAGTCACTCTGGTAACTTGGTGGCCAAATAAATTGATTAAATACTTATGGGAAATGGTTTGTTTAGATTTAGATTTTTAGATTTTATTTATTATTTATAGGCCGCCCTTTTCCCTGAGGGGACTCAGGGCAGCTTACAATTCATGGGAGGGGGTGTGCAAAACATAAGACAGTACGTGAATAAAAAAATAAACAATAAAACACAACTTTCATTCAACATGAAAGGTTGGGGCAGATTAAAATCTTTATCCCCAGGCCTGACGGGATAGCCAGATCTTAAGGNCTTGCACCCCTAACCCTTTAGAAAAAAACCCAGGGATGTTCAAACTTGGCAGCTTTAAGACTTGTGGACTTCAACTCCCAGAATTCCTCCTCTCGCTCTCCATCTTGATGATGTGCGGACCGGCGGGGGGAGGGAGCTGGAACCAGTTCTAAATGGCACTGTAGATTTGTGGAACCTCTTCTATAGAAGATGTTAGAACTGGCAGGAACCCACCCCTGCTTCCAGTTGAGGCAGTTGAATTGAGGTCTACAAGTCATAAAGTGGCTTAAGGTTGGAGACCCCTGGTTTAGGGTCTTCTGCTTGAGCAGGGGGGGGACTAGAAGACCTCCAATGTCCCTTCCAACTCCATTATTCTATGTTCTATATAGCCACCCATCTTATAAAATGTGACTCTTCAGGGTCACAAATATGTGTCATGAGTACAGGCAATTCCCAGTTTCATGATGAATTCTATTTCCAAGGTCTGTCCTTAAGTCAAATTTGTATGTAAGCTGGAACATTGTTATATAATACTGTACAAATAGCATTGTGTGATGAACTTGAACCTCTGTGTATTTAACTTGAATCATTGTGTATTTGAATCTCATTTTGCAACAAAAGGCTCCATTCTTAACCATGGTCATCCCGAAATAAGGGCATTCTTAACCCAGGGAATTGCTGTATTACCCTGACAGCATATGACCATGTGGGCAGATTTCAGTGTGTTCTCTAATGCCCGACATTTCAGCTGCTACGCTTGAGAAGTGATTCACAGGAAGTTGTGTAAACTTTCTCAAGTATGCACCCCGACCCTAATTAAAGCAGCTGCGTCTTTTTCCATCCCACTGTGTGAGCCATGTTGCGAGTTATTATTTCAGGGGTGAAATGCTACTGGTTTGGAACGGTTTGTCCGAACCAGTAGTAAAAAAAGCTACCAGTTGTCCCGAACAGGTATTTCCGATGATCAGCTGTGACATGTGATTTATATTACCTAGAAAGCAGGATTCCCTGTTTCCCTCTCCACCCCACTCTTCTACTTACCTTTGCAGACTGCTCAATAGCAGGCTCCACTCTCCGTCATCATGTCCGCTTTTAACACTCTGCGCATGCGTGGAAGGTCCTGTGCATGCGTGGAGGGGCTATGTGTGAGCAGCGTGCACACCCGCAAGGACAAACTCACATTTACAAACCGGTTGCAAAGGTAAGTAGATTTCACCCCTGTATTACTTCCTGGTACATTTCTCTTCTTCTAAAACTCTCCCTCTTTAGGGCCTGCGATGATTCATTGGTCAAAGAAGCTGAGCTTGTCATCTGGAAGCTGACAGCCTGTGTTTGAGACCTGAGTGCTATGCAATGGGATGAGCTCCTGTTACCGTATTTTTGGAGTATAAGATGCACCTTCCCCCCCAAAAAAAGAATGAAAATCTGGGTGCGTCTTATACACTGAATACAGCATTTTTGGCCTCTTGAAACTCTACCCACTTCGCAAAAATGGATGTGCAGAGGGTTTAGGAGGCCTGCAAAATGCTCCTGGGGGCTGGGGAGGGCAGAAATGAGCCAAAATTGGGCCATATTTTGCTTGTTTTTGCCCCCCCAGCCCCCAGGAGCACTCTACAAGCCTCCTAAAGTTTTTTGCTCATCTTTGCCCCCCCTCCCAGTCCCCAGGAGCACTTTGCAGGCCTCTCAAACTCTCTGCATGACCCATTTGTTGCAACAAATGAAGTGTGCAGAGGGTTTGGGAGGCCTGCAGAGTGAAAAAACTTTTTTTTTTAATTTACCTCTTCAAAATCTTGGTGCGTCTTATACTCCGGTGTGTCTTATAGTCCAAAAACTATGGTAATTGCCTCAGCTCATATCCACTTAGCAGTTTCGAAAGCATGCAAATGCGAGTAGATCAATAGGTACCACTTCAGTGGGAAGGTAATGAGCCTTTGTATGCCTTTGGTGTGTAACCATGATGGCTACATGACCACAGAAAATATCTTCCGACAACACTGGCTCCCTCAGCTAAGAAATGGAGATGAACACCAGAGCCTAGAGTCAGATACAACTGGGAGAGGGAAATCTTTACCTTTTAAAGCTCTTCCTCACCCTCATGGCAAACGTAGCCGATGAGATGAATTTACCTGGTCAGTGCACCAGTACCACAGAGATGGGATGGTCATTCCCACTAGGATTCCTGGCCAGGGAAAGTCAGATGTGACGGGGTCCCGGAATATGTGGAAGGCATCCTCTCTTGGCAAGCCACAGCTTGTGTTTCCATAGTGGTTGCTTGCGATGGCTTTGAAGTATCTGTTTTTCAGGTCCTCAAGCCCGTCGACTTTGGCAAAGCCTAGAGAGGTTGAAATAGACCAGTTCAGCTGCCTCCCACAGACAGCAAGCTACAGAACAGCAATTCTGAACACACAAACACACACAAACACCAATGGTGCAGGGGTGGGTTCCAGCTTCTGTTACTGTTGGTTTGCTCAGGGATGCGCTTTGCATGCTACTGTATGCACAGTAGTAAAAAAAAACAAGATGGCGGTGCTGTAGGCCAATAGAACCGGTTCAGGGGCATGGCCTGCCGAGTTACTACCTACTCTTGGCCGAATCGGTAGGAACCCATCTCTACAATGGTGGGAATCAAAAAAGTTTTATTACCCTTTCTGTGGGCATGGCTTTCTGGGTGTGGTGTGACTTTGTGGGCATGGCTTTGTGGGCGCAGCAGGGGAAGGATACTACAAAATCCCCATTCCCTCCCCACTCCATTAACCTGCTTTTTAGCTCCGTTCTCCTATTCAGGGCAACAAAAGAAGATCAGCTGGGAGGCAGCAGGGGGCAGGGCCAGCCTATTTGCCAATTCTCTGAACTACTCAAAATTTCCGCTACCCATTCTCATTACCTGTCAGAACTGGCTGAATACAACTTCTCTCTCACACACACACACAAAGACACACATAAGAATACTCACTGAAGCCCATCAGGGTGAGTGCGCCAGCCAACATAATAACTGTCTGCAGGGTGTCCGTGTAGATCACTGCCGCCAGGCCACCTGTAGAAGGCAAGAGCCAGATTAGGGCCCAGTTTCTGCCCAAAAAGTCTGGACTAGCCTTAAAAAAGCCCTTCTCTGACATTGAAAAGTTTATTATTATTTTATTTGTTAAATTTGCATGCCACCCTTCCCACCCATAAGCAATTCTCGGTAGCTAAAGTTAATTTTATACCTATCAGAAAATTGACAATTCAGGTGTGATTTAAATGTGATACTGAAATACTGCAACCAATTTTGGTCACCACACAACAACAACAAAAGGAGACTTTGGAAAAGGTTCTGAGAAGAGCAACTAAGATGATCAAAGGCCTGGAAATTAAAACACATGAAGAACAGTTTCAGGATTTGGGCTTGGCTAATCTAAAGAAAAGAAGAATTACAGGTGACGTGATAGCAGTATTCCANTCTTAAGGGCTGTGCGGAAGGTCTGGACGGTGGTGAGGATGCAAATCTCCACGGGGAGATCGTGGATCGTTCCAAAGGGTCGGAGCTACTACTGAATAGGGACCATTCAAAGTTACATCAGCGCTGAAAAAAGTGACTTTGGTTGGTTTTTCACATTTATGACTGTTGCAGCATCCCATGGTTGCACAATCAAAATCCGGATGCATGGCAACTGGTTCATATTTATGATTTATGCAGCGTCCCAGGGTCACATGATTCCCCTTTGGTGACTTTTCGACGAGCAAAATCAACGGGGAAGCCAAATTCACTTAACCACCAAGTTACTAACTAAACAACCACAATGATTTGCTTAACAACTGTGGCCGGAAAGATCATAAAATGAGGCAAAACACACTTAACCAAATGTCTCACTTAGCAACATAATTTTTGGGCTCCATGGTGGAGAGACGGATCTCTGCCTCTGTTTTACAACCCATTTGCTCCCTCTGGGAAATTTGAAAAACCTATTTTCTCATCCTTGTGTAACCAACCATCAGCACCCTCCAGCATTTAGCTCAGCTTTCCAAATCTAACGAGAAACTCCCTGGGTTTTCTATCTATTTCTTAGAGGGAGCAAATGGGTTATAAGACAGAGGTAGAGAGCCGTCTCTCCTTCAGCCTTTTAGTCTGAATTCATTTGAGAATTGCTAGTTATGCACCCCAGCTAAGGGGGCATTTGGCCCGCTTCTAATTCCACCAGTGGTCTTTCTCCTTGTCAGGGGTGGGCTCCGGCAGTCACTACTGCTGGTTTGCTCGTGGCTGTGCCACCCGTGCGCTTAATGCACTCTGCGCATGCATGCACAGTGCAATAAAAAATGCTCTGCGCATGCACGGAAGCAAAAAACAAGATAGTGGTGCCTACAACGCTGCCCAGAGAACCAGTTCAGGGCTGTGGAAGGCCTGGGTTGCTGCCGGTTCCAGCGACTTCGGATGCCAAGCTACTACCGGTTTGGCCAAACCAGTCTGAACCAGTAGGAATCTACCACTGTTCCTTGTATTAAAAAAACTTAGATGAAGGAATAGTCGTCCCCCGTCTAAGATTAAGGACTGGTCATCTTCAGTCTGAAGGGTTTACAGTTCAGGTGTGAGGGACAGTAATGTGAGAAGCCCACTCCCCCTTCCCTCTGGGCCAGGACTTCTCATCATTGGCAACGTTAACCTGTAGGAAGTTCAACTTCCAGAATTCCCCAGACTTGGAGAATTCTGGAAGTTGGACTCCCTACAGCTTAAAGTTGTCCAGGTTAATAAATGCTGCTCTGGACCACCATGAAACAATTCTAACCACACGAAGCCTACATCCACAGGGCTCCTTTGCCAGATTAGCCTCCCTCCCCAAGCCAGCAAAAAATGGAAGTGGTCTGGGCAGTACCACCATCTATAGGGCTTTAAGGCACAACTTTCCACTGGCTGAGTTTGGTGATTCCCCCAATGCCAGCTGTCTCGAAGTGCCCAGTTTTGGTGACTCCATGCCTGCAGTTCCTTTCTTTTCCCTTCCCGTTGTACTTCTTTAAAAAAAAAAAATTCTCAACCACTTGGCCTAATGACCACTAAATAACAGCCAGTAATTGGATATTTCTTGGCTGTCATCTAGCAACTGTCTTGGTGACATCTCTTCAGCCAAGATGCAGCCAGGATATCCATGCCGGTTGGCCAGCAGAGTTTAGCTGTGGTTAGTTGGAAACTGCAGGAGAGGAAGCCAGGGAGGTAGCAGCCACAGGGCAGTGGGGGGGGGGATCCCTGCCACGCAGACCACTGAATTTCAGGCACTGAGGATTGAGGAGTGGGAGAAGAGGGGAATGATGGACACCAGCAGATCAGAGGTGGTATTCAGCCGTTTCAGACTGGTTCACCCCAACCAGTAGTGGAAATCGCAAGTGGGCCAGCCCCCGCCCCCCCATCCCTGCTCTATGTTGTTCTATTTAGGCACATTTCTGAGGCCGGGCACATACACGAAAGGCGCAAGAAAGGTGGAAGAAAGAGCAGGTGTGATCAGGAAGATCTTGACTCTCCAGGAGAGCAGAGAAGGCTTTCTGGGCACCGACTTACTTACCCCACTTGCAAGGTAGATGGGCACAAACAACCACGCCAGCACCAGGACACAAAACATTCCCTAAAGAGAGACCACAGAGCCATTAGGAAGATGGAAGCCTCCTCCCTCCGAAAACCTACAGATCTACAGGGGCACCTCGCCTACCATCCATTGGCAGGGCAGGCCAAGAGATAGTGGCCAAGGGTTTCCACGAGCAAATTCAGCTTCTTTTTACATCTCCAGCTGTAGACCTTTGGCACATAAATCAATCTGGCTCATTTTGGGCGGATTTGAAAAGGGAGCCAAACTCAGCTGGCCAGTGCCCTGACAGGACAAGGCGTTGCGTGCCCTCAGAAACCGCTCTGCATGCCATTGGTCCGCCATCACAGCCCTATACCATTCCAGACAAGTGGTTGTCCTGTCTGTCCTTGAAAACCTCCAATGATGGCGCACAAGTCCCTAAGGAATATGCAATATTCACACCATCTGTCCCTCCAACCCAAAGGAGCGGTACAGTCATAATCCTGCACTGGGACCCCAAAATAAACTGGAAAATGACACCACTGGGGTGCTGCAATGCAAAGCAACTGGTCACAGGATGAGACTTCCCCACCCCCCTGGCACTGCTGCTACTTCACACTCATTGCTGGCAAGCAAAGCGGATGCCAGGAGGAAAGGTGGGCAGCCTGGCATGAGTGAAGCCCCAGCAGATGAAACGATGTGGGTGTGGTTCTCTGTGGAGATAGCTGACCAGACCATTCAAAAAGTCCCTGCTGTTTTCAGAAAGGGATCCTGTGCCTAATCAGTATAAGCTTCAAGGACTTGCACCCACAGCAAGAATAGATTGAGCAAAATAAAGTTTTAAAGTTTTAATGCAAGAGAAAAGACCCCCCAGGTGCTGTTTCTGCAGAGACCTTGACATTTAGGAAGGATTCCCCTTGCCTCTCTGATCCTCGATGGGGAATGAGCGAAAAATGGGCCTTTTTTTGCTCAACTAGGAGCACTCTAAAAGCCTCCTAAAGGCTATGCATGCCCCTTTGTTGAAAAAAAAACAGCCCATTTTCACACTGTTTGGGGGCCATTTTCAGGCCGTTTTTGGCCTGATAAACAACCTGAAAACACCCAAAAAACAGTCTGAAAATGCCCCAGAAAACAGCCCCCAAATGTCCAAAAACAGGCATGTGTGCTCTATCCAGCTGATCTTTGGGTTTTTGGTGCTCCAGCACGCACAAATGCACGCCCATACACGCACATTCTGGTTTGGGCACTCGGTGCTGAAAAGGTTTGCCATCATTGGTATAGGGTTTCCTGCTAGAATAGGGGGTTGGACTAGAAGACCTCCAAGGTCCCTTCCAAGTCTGTCATTCGGTTTCAGTCTTCCATTTATTTGTCTTTATAATCTGGGCACGCAAAGGCTGACTCAATCCCAGATGCGTCTAGCCAGGCACCAGAGCTGAGTAGAAGGAAGATCAGCTCTTCACACAAAAGACACAACTCTTGTTGACCTCTTTAAACAGCTGCTGGAAAAGTCTCCTCTTCTTTAATCAGCCCAATCAGGCCCGGGAGATAGAGAGAGATGAACCTTCAAGATTAGGGAAGACTTTGCCCCCTGCCCTGTGCCAGCCAGCATAAAAGGGATCATAAAAGCCATACTCACATTCCATTCGTAGGCCGTGGCAGCAATCCCAGAGGCTGCACCAGAGCCAGCCAAGCCGATGAAATGCCCACTGCCAACATTACTGGCGAACAGGGAGGCCCCCACCTGTGAAAAAGATGCAGAGGATCATCTTGGTGAGGATCTCCAGTGCCTTCTACACCTGCCTTGAGTGCAAAACCTGCCATTGCATGGAAGTGGTTGAAGGGTTTCTAGATCACCTGTCCTGACCCAAGGCCCAATTTCTCCGTTGGGATGCTTCTCTTGACGCTATAGGACAGTGGTCTCCAAACTTGGCAACTTTAAGACTTTTAAGGTTTTCATTATATCAGCGGATACTGAAAGCTAAAAACTCTTAACAGATTAGCAGAGGTGGAAGAGACCTTGTAGGTCATCTAGTCCAAATGCCCCCTGCCCAAGCAGTAGACCCTAGATCATTTCTGACAGATAGCAGTCCAGTCTCTTCTTAAAAGCCTCCAGGGATGAAGCTCCCACAACTTCCAAAGGCAACTCCTGTTCCATTGGTTGGTTGCTCTCACTGTCAAGAAAATTTCTCATTTCTAGGTTGAATCTCTCCTTGATCAGTTTCCATCCATTATTCCTTGTCTAGCCTTCGGGTGCCTTGGAAAATAGCTTGACCCCCCACCCTCTCTGTGGCAGTTCCTCAAATATTGGAAGACTGCAATCATGTCTCCCCTAGTCTCCTCTTCACTAGACTAGCCATACCTAGTCCCTGCAACCGTCCATCATATGTTTTAGCCTCCAGTCCCCTCATCATCTCGGTTGCTCTTCTCCGCACTCTTTCTTGATGCCAAATTTTGAGACCTGCTATAGGAGAAGCTGACACTCTTACGGCTCCTCCTGGTTTGTACACGTTCAGACAACCTGGCCTTTGTCAACATCTTGTCTATCAACAAGACAGTCTTCTCTGGCTCCTTCAGACGTCTCTAACTTTGGCAACTTTAAGATTTGTGGACTTCAACTCCCAGAGTTGAACTCTGGGGGTTGAAGTCCACAAA